ATGGTCGATAAGCACGCTTGTATCTAAATATTGGGGTTCATTGAATTCACGCAAAAGGTTTTTAGGTATCCGGTAAGAAGTCGAAGTTTTTTGTGGGGTGTCAAAAACGGGTGTAGGAGGCTCTTCGGTATCGTATGTTTCATTTTCTTTTTTGACATTTTCTAGTTTAACACTTCCCAACTGAGTGTGAGTAAGCAATTGTTTTAGTGGTTGAGTAATAGGCTTAAAGTGTCGTTCGGCATCTCGATCCGCCAACGATCTGTCTCGTTGCAATGTTGTATATTTGTGCTTCACAGATTTTCTCGCTTCGAGAAGGTCCCTTACTAAACGTGGTTCCATTAGGACTACATTTTACACAGTGTTGTGTTCTCATTTATAGCACCATGTAAGAATCGAATCCTTTTCTATACCGACCAGAGGTTGGGTCATTTTCTTTATCGATAACTAGAAATCCGTATTTATCGCTCCAACAATGAGCGCATAAAGTTTTAAAACGATCAAATGACATATCAACGTTAACGTGATCGTCGTAAACATGCTTTAAATTGGTTTGATCCTGCTGAAATAGCACTATCAGATTCGCGTTGTCTCTAATTAATTGTTTAGGAATAGCCGAATACGTTTGACAAAGGTAAAAGCAATCGTTATTTTTATGTCTACCAAAACAAAAGTGGTCTCTTATTTGGTTTTGTTTATGACAAGCAACGTCGTCGAAAATCATAACGGAATTCGGTTGTGAATCGCTTGGTTGTACTACATCGCTATTATCATTGTATTCAAAATATTGGATTTCTGTAAGTGGGTCTAATAATTTGCGTAAATATTCGTATTTCGGCTGATTAAGAGATTTACAATACACGTATACATTCTCAAATCTCAATCCGTTAGGGTGTTCTAACAGTGCTATCATTACGTTGGTTTTACCACATCCTGAAGGACCAACGATAATACCGCGTTTACAACCACCTTTCAACAGATTGCTGTGCTTAGAATATTGCTTCACGGGAGAACATGTATCGTAGTTTTTTATAGGTAGTAACGTTCGTTGAGGTTTAAAACGTATGGTGGACATTACACTACTAACCAATAACCGCAATATTTTGTAGTATATATTCACAAACAACATATATTTCGCTTAGTCGTGTTATAATCATCAAGGTATGACCTTTATTTGCACTACTAAGAAAAAAATTAAAAAAGGGGCGGGCTTAATTAATTCCTTAATTAATAATTTACCCGTTGAATTACATTTACCCGGATATCGATATTGCGGTCCCGGAACTCGTTTACAAAAGAGGCTTGCTCGGGGCGATAAAGGAATTAATCTATTAGATGAAGCCTGCAAAGAACACGATATAGCTTATTCAAAATCGAATAATCTCGGTGATCGTCACGTTGCCGACAAAACGTTGCAACAAAAAGCGTGGGAAAGGTTTCGATCAAAAGACGCCACCGTTGGAGAGAAAACAGCCGCTCTTACTATAGCTGGTATTATGAAAGGTAAAAGAACATTAGGTATGGGTATGAAAAAACGTCACATGAAAAAACGAGCCTCTGCCTTGTCTTTTAACGCCGCCATTCGATTAGCTAAAAAACGTATAGGGGGTAAAATCAATTCAAATTTAAAAGCAAGCGTTCAGCGTGCTATGAAAGTTTTGAAGAAGAAGAGTATTAGACCACCCAAGCATCGCATTTTACCTATACCCAAAACCGGTGGACTTGTTCCTCTAATTCCACTCTTTGCTGCATTGGGAGCATTGGGTTCTTTGGGAGGTGGAGCTGCGGCTGTTGCAAAAGCGGTAACAAATGCAAACAATGCTGCAAAACAACTAGAAGAAAGCAAACGACATAATCAAGTAATGGAAGCGGCAGTAATAGGAAAAGGAATATATATAAAACCTCATAAAAAAGGTCTAGGCCTTTATCTAAATCCATACCAAAAAAACTTCCAATAAAGCTACCACGTCGCCCTTTAACCGATCGCGATCTATCGAAATATACCGGGAAGTTAAAAATACCACATTTTAGAGGAATTTTTATGAGAGATTGTTTACCAAAGTCAATACATCGTTACGAAAGTGGTATAATAAATCTAGATGATGAAAACAGCGTGGGTACGCATTGGACAGCGTACGTTAAGCGAGGCAACACTATTTCATATTTTGATAGTCTAGGGCGTGTAAAACCTCCTCACGAGGTGATACATTATTTTCGGAGCGATGGTAGCGAAAACACTATTACATACAACTTCAACCAATTACAACTTCTTAATACTTATAATTGCGGTCATTTAGTATTGAGTTTTTTATACAATAACACATCGTTATTAAGTCAGTAACATCTATATCGTTAAGGTGAAATGTCTTATACCTTTACATTTACGGGTACAACGTCGACCTTAAGCGCCTTTTTTCGCCCTCCTATATTACTTGAAGAGGAATATGTAATGGGACTAACCAACTTTGAAACTTACAATAGTATTCATAACGTCACATCTAAAAACAATAAAGTAAAATTTGGAGAAAAAACTATTACAATACCACCGGGTTGCTACGAAATAACTGATATTAATAATTACATAAATTCTCAAATTGAACGAACGGCTGGAGATTATGTCGAGCTTCAAGCTAATAACAACACCATGCAATCAGTTCTTAAAGCCAGTCAACCAATTGATTTTGCGATAAAAGATTCAATAGGAGAACTTTTAGGGTTCGGTACAGAAACGCTTAGTTCACGTGTTACTCACACTTCTCGTAATCCAATTAACATTCTAAAAATTAATTCGTTGTTAATTGACTGTAGTATTACTACGGGAAACTTTAAAAATGGTGTACCGGCTCATACAATCCACCAGTTTTTTCCTAGTGTGCCCGCGGGATATAAAATAATCGAGCGACCTCTTAGTGTAATTTATTTACCTATTAACGTTTCCACACTTTCCAACATTACGCTTAAAATACTCGATCAAGATGGTGACGCTGTTAATTTCAACGGAGAAGTGATCACGATAGGATTACATTTGAGGAAAAAACATGGTGAACCGCTATAGTTCTTGTGCGTGCAAGTGTGACAAGGATTACCCCAAACCCTGTTATAAAAAGCGTCAACCTCGTTCTTTTTGGACCAGTAAGCGTAGTTCGCTTCAACAATTAACAGCTGCCAACAAGTCCTATTTGCGAAGTCTCGGTTTCACCGTTATACAATGAGCGTCTTGAACGTTAACGAATCGGTTCGTGTTGACAACGCTATTATCAACTCGGAACTTCATACTCATCAACCTTATACCACACGATTTGGAAACAATGACGAAATTCGGATTCCTATTCAAGAAGACATGTGCACCTTACCTTCTCAAAGTCACCTCTATATTGAGGGAAAATTGTTGCGACAAGATAACACGGTATCATTAGGAGCCCGTTTCATTAACAATGGAATCGCATTTTTATTTAGCGAAATTCGTTACGAGATGAACGGCGTTGTGGTCGATTCTATTAGTAAGGTAGGGTTGACCACCACCATGAAGGGTTTAATATCTCTTACACCAAATGATGCTGCTAGATATGAAAATTCTGGATGGTTTCCCACAACCAATAGTACAATTGTAAGCCCTACGGGACATTTTAACGTTTGCCTTCCTTTGGGAATGCTCCTCGGATTTGCGGAAGATTATCGAAAAGTCGTGCTAAATATACGACAAGAACTCGTATTAATACGCAGCAATTCAGATACAGACGCCGTGTATTCTGCAACTGCCGACGAGGCTTTGAAGGTTGACATTGAAAAAATTTATTGGAAAGTACCCCATATATTGCCGGCGCTTGCAGAGGAATTAGCACTCACTAAGTACATTGACAAAAATATAAACACCCAAGTTGCGTTTAGGAGTTGGGAAACTCACGTTTATCCAGCTCTTCCACAGACCGATAAACACACGTGGGCAATAAAAACGGCCACTAGCTTAGAAACTCCTAGATACATTATATTAGGATTTCAAACGGGGAGAGATGGTAAAGTCAATCAAGACATGAGTAAATTCGACCAATGTGGTATTGAAAATGTTCGTGTATTTCTTAATACGGAACGTTACCCATACGATAATCTGAATATTAATTACTTAAATAACCGATACGCCAGTTTGTATGAAATGTACGCAGCATTTCAATCGTCCTACTACGAAACTGAAGGTCAACCTTTGCTAACCCCTGACCAGTTCAAACAAAATGCACCGTTAATAGTAATAGATTGCTCACATCAAAAAGATTCTTTGAACTCGAAAGCTGTCGTGCTTCGAGTAGAATTCGACACGTCGGCCAACGTTGCCGCTAATACCACAGCGATGTGTTTGATTCTTCACGATAAGGTTTTTACTTACAATGCATTAACCAAAGCAGTTAGACAACTGTAGCTATAAAAGATTCACCGTTTAATGATTCTACGTTAGTACCATGGTTGTCATAGTAGATATACAAGGTTTCTATACTTCTGCGAAACACTTCACCCCTAAAGAATTAGCAGTGTACGATGGGAATCAGATAGCTCACTTTGTCTTTAAACCACCTTTTCCTTGGACCGGTTTGGATGCCACCTATCAACGACAGGCACACTACTTGATTCACAATCATCATTTTATTCGATGGGATGAAGGTTACACACAGGTATTCTTGTTTCCGAAAATACTTCGCGAAACGATACGTACATCGGATGACGTCTACGTTAAAGGTAAGGAGAAAGCTGATTACATTAGAACCATTCTCAAGAGACCAGTTTTTGAAGTTGAAGAACAACCAGCTGTCCCTTTACTAGAAGCGTCTTGCAAATATCACACGCAATCATTATGTCATTGCGCTTTATCTAATGTTTATCACTTGTATAACAACTATGTAATCCATTAATCAAAAATTGACTATTTAATAAAAACATTTCTTTTTTATATATATATTTTTTTTCTATATATTTGCCCTCACATACAAAATAAATTACAATGAAACGTTATGAAACATGAAAATACAAAAAAAAAGGTAATTAAAAAATATTAACAACATTATAAAGCAGGTGAAAATACAAAACATTTAAGCACCCTTACGTTACAAATTAAGCATATTAAGGTATGTATTTAGTAAATGAGTGGATTGTGGGTGATAATATACACCGAAGTTAAATGGTAAGTATGCTGGAGTGTGGTGGTGAAAATACAAAAAAAAAAGGTAATTAAAAAATATTAACAACATTATAAAGCAGGTGAAAATATTAACAACATTATAAAGCAGGTGAAAATACAAAACATTTAAGTATGTATTTAGTAAATGAGTGGATTATGGGTGATAATATACACCGAAGTTAAATGGTGATTGGTAAGTATGCTGGAGTGTGGTGGTAACTGGGAAGTATGATGTGAATAAGCGAATATGTACAAAATTATGATGTGCTTTCAAAAGCTTTAATCAATCCATCTAAAAGTTCGTCACTTATGTCCATTGAGTCATCATCATATAAAACGTTAGGATTTTGAAGTATATTGTCAAGATCGATATAGTTTTCATACCTACGAATATCCCTATGACCCCACGCTAACGTATCACAAGTGTTGGGTATTACGAAACGTTTGTCATCATACGAACTTAGTCCGATTTTATTTACTAATTCAGTGTATATATCATGCAAAGTTGATTTAAAAACCAACATTTTGCAAAAAACTTTTTTATCCGTTTGTTCAGCTACACATTTATAATCGAATTCGCTCAAATCTTTTTTAATGGTAATTTTTTTCACACCTTTCGCTTTCTTAATTACGTCATCCTCAGTTTTTACACAATACGATTTCGCACCCGCACCATAAAATAGATGAATAGCTTTACCCGCATATTCGTCTTTCATTTTGCCAACTATAGAAGGAGTTGTGATTACGCCGTGTAGATTATTTTTATAATTAGAGGTATCGTATTCGTTTAAATTGTTTCTCATATGTTCATACAAGTCGTGAGTTTTAACCTCCAAAATAAACGAATCGGTGTCAGTATACAACAATGAAACATTTTTTCCATAATGGGCGCGTAAAATGTCATAGAAGAAACGATACATTACTATTTTAGAAACGTCTAGAATGGTAAACCCCACATAAATTGGTTTGTTATAAACTACTGAAACTTTTGACATTTCAACTGCAAATAAAGTATGACTGAATTGGGTAAATTTTTTAAAGTGAGGCTGCGTTATGAAACTTTCTAATCCACGACGTCGACCGTAATTTTCCCAGTGTGTTAACAATTTCAGTATTTTTCGTTTATCCACATTCTCCATAGTCTTACCAAATACGCCATTGTTCATTAACTTGAAGAAATCTTTTTCGAAACTATTCGTAGCTTTATTCCGCATTCTCGTATTTAAATCGATGTAGTCGCGTAACCACGGTTTTTGATTGAACTTAAGAATGCGATGAACATGTGTGAGTACGAGTCCATGTTTTAAACATTGTTTCAAATTTCGATAATGAATTACATATTTTGATTTATCGTATAAATTTGGAATTAATTTCGTTTGTTTGTACTTCGCTCTAGGGGGCAAAATATTTTCTGGGCAAAATGGTAAATCGTTGTGGGTAGAATGTAGTTCTAGTGGGTAATGCAGATCAACTTCCAAAATATATCCGACGTCGGATTCGTCTGATATATCGTGAACGTTAAATTTTTCAATATCTGCGCGAGTTAACCAAGAAAACCCGTCAACTGGTAGATATTCTCGCATTGAATTTCCATATAAGTTCGTCGCATCTAAGTACTGAATAAAGACCTTGGCCTGATTAGAATCATAACCAGGCACAAACTCATTATTAGCGCACGACTTTCTTTTAATACAAGTGCTAACACCACCACGAATTCCCTTTTTAATCATGTGGTACATGTCCATGTCCGTCAGTAATTCTAATTTTACTCGTGTAAATTTTAGCATAGCATCCCAAGTTAATCCTGGGGTAGTTACGTAATGAGCGGCATCTACTCCGTACACGTTCATACATAGAGATCTAAAATTTTGAAACACATCCGCTAAAAGTAATACGTCCGTTTTGAGATAAAGGTCCGAATAATCCCCTAATGTCTTACAATTAAATACGTTCCAGATGCGTACCACCCTCTCGTATTCATCGCGTGATATATGTTCTTGGGTCATATCGTTATAAAATTTTGTATGAGAAGGTATATCTTTCTCGTCTAATTTTGACATACAATCTACATATGAATAAGGAAAGCAACCTTTCTTTCGGAGAAGTTGAAATTTATTAGAATCATTAAAAAATTTTCTTATCTCTGCGCACTGTTCCGAAGTTAAATTTGTGGATAGTTTATCTAACGACGTAGGCATAAAGCGAAAACTATCTATAAATCGTAATTTCATATACTTTCGTTCCTTTTTACCCGATTCCAAATCTACTTCATCTACTAGAACCCGTTTACTGAAAGTGATGTACTTTTCTGTACTTGTAGGAATAACGTCAATGTCTTCGGTATCTGCTCCTAGCTCTTTAACGAACAAATGGGAATCGTATCCGCTAAGATTATGGAACACGACCGGTATAAAGTTTGGAATTTTATAATTTAGATTACACGTTGCGTGCGCGCTACCGCGATATTTACCGGTAATGTGACAATGATCTTTAACTTTGGGATTCGTGGAATCGTTATCAAACGGGTTTTGGCAAATAAAACATGTTCGGCTTTCATCATACATTCGCAATTCATCTTCTGAAAGAGGTTCCATGGGACGAACGTTTAGCAAATATTCGCGATATATATTTTTAATATCGTTTTGTAGTCGCGTAATAAATATTTGTGCCGCATTTTCACCTCGATACGTTTCCAATCGTGACCATTCGTCATTATACGACGATTTAATATAATAACAAAACGAATACGGTGTGTGTTTACATGTTTTTATCGTAAAAGATTTTTTGGGGTCTGGTTCGGCGGTATCTAGAGGTTGTAAAATTGACTCAAAATCTGCATAAATAACAAAAGGTAGTAGCATTTGCTTTTGAAAATTCGTAAAGGTAAGAAGATTTTCGGGACGCATATTACCGGTTTTGTCAAGTTTTAGGGTTGTGGTTGGTAGTATAGTAGACGTGTGATTGCAATCTTGCATTTGATGTTTTTTTAGTTGTTGTTCAGTACGAAAATAATTAATGCACCCGTCACAAAAATGCGTTGCTCCATTACGTTGACTTATTTGCTTGCTAACTAACCGTGAAAAATTGTTTATGTATGTATAGTGAGTGTTACCTGCCTTATTACTAATTAATAACATGTTTACGTGATTAATTTTTTTTGACTTACTGTAATACAGCGGCCCTATTACTTGAATCTCTTGCTTTCCATCTTTATAGACGCACTCAATCCCATAAACATTAACGGAAATTTTAGGGTTGTTGGCCTCAAACGTGGGTATTGACGACAACGGTACTGGAAATTGGATACCGTCCCAATTAAATATTTTTAAAATATCTGGATATGATTCTTTGCGTTGCGGTTTCCCCGTAGGATGAATCAACGCCGATGCGAGCGTCCATCCGAAGCACATCTGGTCGTTGTTGTCAACGTTGATAATAGCCTTTCTTCTTTTAAGAGAAGGAGGTAAATCAATATATGACGACGCTTTTATCGGATTAAATTGTAAGAAGTTGCATTCCAAGTATAATAAATCTACTAACACCCATCCTGAAATGCACAAATATGTAAAATAAAATTACTGAAATTATTATTTACCGGAATCGCGGCCTTGAAATTCCGATTCTTTTCTGCTTAAAATTTCAACCACTTGTTCCACGTATTCTTCCAAATTAGTGCCCAGAGTTGTAATTGCATATTTGGTTTGAAATGATTTAATTTCGACCTTTTCTTCCAATAAATACATTCCAAACAGTTCAAAATTGGTTTTTAGCGATGGGTACGTCTGTAACTGTTTGTTACATACTTTTAATACTTTGTTTTTTACATCTTCCATAAATGATTTCACTTCATTATGTTTACCAACTGGTGATATTCTAAAACTCATTATTTTCTTCTCAAATGAGGATCTAATAATTTCAATTTGGTCATCTATCACTAAACAAGCATTCGATTTATGTCTGTTACTACGCAAATGTCCTTGATAACCAGATCTTGCCACATCTTCAGAACATTGTGCGCAATGCACTGTAGGTACTCGCACCGGTGAGTCATCGGTCGATATTTTAACCTTTTTTAGGGTCGGTGGATCCAGACGTGCTCCAGTTGTACACGATACGCGTTGATGTCTTTTTAAGTTATCTTTGCGCGAAAATGCTCGACCACATTCACATTTGACTAAAATTTAGGTGTACATTATCACACAATATGGTTACAAAAAAAAACAACTATATTAGTAAGTAAAAACTAAGGGGTAGAATAAAAGATTAGATCTAAGGAAACTACACATCAGTCAATGAATACTTTAAAGCGTTAACGCTTTAAAGTATTCACTGTCCGGTGACGGGAATCGTGGACCCTGTGTAGCAACGTCACCGGGAGGGGATGGAAAGGTTGGTATGTAGTATGGGAAAAATAAAGATTAATAGAGAAACTTTCATTTTAAATGTTCTAATAAAGTACTAAAATCCTCATAATTTAAATGTCTTTTCAGTAGTTCTTTCGTTTCATCCGACACGTTTAAACTCTGACAAACTGTTTCTCTTTGTAGTCCTAAGCGCTTGTATCTCGCGTTCAAACGTTCGTACGCGTGCACGTTGGACAATAACTTGTTCATCATTCGACAGCGCGCACGATTCACGTGTATTACATCACTATTTAAGAGAAACAACTGTTCAAGTTTATCATCAATATTGTCTGGTAACAAAATCCTCGAGGAAACGTGTCGTTTTACATCCGCTACATTAGGAGGGGAATTACGGTGGATAGGGTAAGTTAGAGGGGGTGAACTTGGACGACTTCGTTTGGGATTAGGTTCTCCCCATTCGCTATCAAATTGAGTGGCAAGAGCAACGCACTCTTTCACTTCAACGTCGTCTAGTAAATCACCATCATTTACATTCACACACGTTTGCTCTTCCACTTTTGTTGATACCGCATCGGTTGCACCTTTATCTAGATAAACATGCGTAGATTGGGGGGATGGAATAGGAGAAAGGCATTCTAATAATCTATGGTACCATTCGGGTGGTTCAGGACTACTTGTGGATGTATTTTTGGGATCGAAACCGTCTCTATTGTTTGAATCGTTTATCGGAATAAAAGAAATATCTTGCAGTATTTTAGTTTGTTCAAGCATTACACATTTATTAACTTGAATAATAAACTTACCAGGAACACGATCACTATTCACAGCACTAGTAGACGGGTGGGATTGTTCAGCGCGCGACATGTTGAAGTATGCGTCTCTTATGAAAGTGCACTTCTTATATACGTTTTTCCTCTCCCATTAGTGTCGCTTTTATCGCCTGGGGCACTACAAGTACTGCACCTTTTTGCAAAGAATGAAAAAAAAAAAAAAAAAAAAAAAACAAAAACAAGCTTCATCTTGGTACAAGGAAGCTTGTTCCCAAAAAAATTTGCTGTAACCCCCCCTCCGAAACCCCATTTTATGCATCCAATTTGTCAGAACTGGTCATTATTTATGACGTCAGAAATGTGACGTCATCCCCTAGAACTATATATATTATACAGACTAGTGTGAAACATCGCATTTTGTAAATGACTGCATTACCAAATATCGAATATATAATTAATCATTTAAAAAACCCTAGTGCTACGTATCACAAAAAAATTGTTGACGAGTTTGTGTCAAGTTGGTGTGCCCTTTTAGATTACAACAATATATATTCGTGGGGATTACAGGTAACTATGAATTTATAAATTATTACCTATTTACGCGTTTGTATTCCAATTTAGATTCCGGGTCCGATTAATACCAATCAATATAAAAATTATCACCACATCCCAACAGGTCGCCGTTCAATTGAAGAATGTTTCCTTTCTGAAATTGACCGTTTTAGAAATACGTATAATCGCTGGGACATTATACGATTTTTAAAGGCGCGTAATTCCGAACAATTATATCGCATTTTTCATAATTCCATTTCCTGCATTTATTGTATCTCAAGTACGTCTTTACTTTTACACGACAAAGAACGTCGATTATCGGAGCTTTTAAGTGTAAATTGTCAAAATTATCCGGTTAGGTTTCGATCTAACCGCCCTTTTAAAAGTTTTCTAAATTAAATTTTGTTTTTTTTTCTTTGTTTCAGAAATGCAAACATTAAAGGAATTATGTATGCAAACATTAAAGGAATTATGTTTGGGAAAGTTTTCAAAATTTGAGAAGAGGTGGCAACGACGAATGCCACCTACTCTCAAGCCGTTACGTCGCCCTCGGACACTGTCCTTAATACTTCGCCGTAACATTCTTCAAATGAATTAATGTCCTCCTCCTCTTCCTTCAACATTTACACTCCAAGCCAATGTAGTAGAGGGGGTAACTACTTATATTAGCTCACGTACCATAGGTAAAGTTTAATAACACGTTGTCTCTCGCACGAATAATCATGTGTTTCGACAATGTATCGCCTGACTACGCGTGTTATGATAAACGATTGCTAACTTATAATAATTGGAGCGGAATTCCATCACCCACATCTTTGGCAAGTGTAGGATTTTTCTTTACGAAATATGGTGACGAAGTAGAATGTTTTCATTGTAAAGTGCGACTTAACAAATGGGAACGTCAAGATAATCCCCTACGGGAGCACCTCCGATGGTCAACCAACTGCGTCTTTGCGAAAATCCTTCAGAACAAATCTAACAATACGCCTCCACCCAATACAGATGTGTGTGGTATATATACTACACAAGGATGAAATTTCCACAAATATTTTTTTGTATTGTCGTTTATAATTATAAATTGCTCTTAATTATTGTAATGACTGACAACAACATCTAATAAATGATTAATTTACTTTTGGTATTTTTTTCTTTTGGTAGTAACCAGGGATACATTTTCTATGTAAGAGGAGTAATGATTGTGACCTTGATCTAAATGAGGAGGAGGAGCTTTCAGAACTGGAGGGGGGAACGGGGTAATCTGACCTTGACCTAAATGAGGAGGAGGCCTCAGAACTGGAGGGGGGAACGGGGTAATCTGACCTTGACCTAAATGAGGAGGAGGCCCCAGATTGCGTAGCGGCGTCGAGCGGTCGGTTAATATAATTTTCAACCGTGATTGGTGAAAAGTGTTCCTTTTTAAAGCGTAAGGGAACAAAATCGTTTCGTTGGATTATAGGATTAACGTGTTCGCATTTAAATAAGTTGTTATCACCAAAGCGTTGGGGTCTAAGGTGAAAAACGTTCATTGTGTATATATTCTTTCTAGCGGTAAGTAAAAAATTCAAATTCTTCCACTCTGATGGGTCTGGTTAGTCCAATCCTTTTGCCGTTTGAAACTTACCTTTAACCTTCTTGCTTCAATCACCGTTGCTGTAAGCCTGTTGAGATGTTCATTATACACCAGTGCTACCAATACTTCTCCAAGATCGGATTTCTGTTCCTGAATTTCCTGAAAGGCAGAAAATTGTAAATTAGTTCATGGCCCCTTTTTATTTACGAAACGATTGAATACGTGGATACAACTGGAACTGGAAACTGGACATTATCAGTAGGTATAACTGCTTTGGATTTCAAAAGAATGATCCCTCTAGGATGTTGGTGTTAGGATTACCCGTGACATTTTGGTCCATTCGAGCACGGATCGGTTCGTGGATTAGAGTCCATTGTAATTAGGTATTGGTTGTAAACTGTGATTGGCTGATCATGAGCCAACAAGGTGATGACATGGATCGTGTGAGACTTGGCAACCAAGTAAAAATACCGGTCAGGTGTGGTGAACGGAGCTATTCGGGTGACCAGACGAGGTTAATGGGGCGGAGAGACATCCGGAGACCGCTTGGACGTTACGACGACGGGACGAACCAAGACAATAGTGTTAGCAATACAGTGCGTGTACAGAATACAAATTGGTCGATCAAAAGAAAGACTTAAGGCCACGTTGGAAGCTAAATAGAGATTCGCTGACCTTTAGGAGAATAAGTTAGCTTCAGAAACCGAAACTAAGGAGGCCGAGGCCGAGCTTATAGCAAGAACAACAAGAATAAGTCATAGAGAAGCAGCTCGAGGGCAAGGAAACGTATATGGAATTGATGGATTGGATCAACAGGTTGGAAGAGACATTGGATTACCAGTGGGCCTGAGTATCATTATGCGTCTATTCACAGGCAGTCAATGAAGAGAGATACGCCTCTCTTCTCTGGAAATACGGTAGATTGGTTTGGGTTCATTGAGCGATTTAAACATATTGTGGATGCATGTCATAAGCATCACATACTCCTTCACGAGGACAAAGCAAAAGAGGAACCTGAACAAGTTGGAAGCCTTGTTCAAAAAGTAGGCACCAAAATTAACGTTTGTAACGTTATTGTAACAACAACGGCCATCCTGGATGATGGCTCAATCATTACGATTATGGATCAAATCTATTGGACGAAAAGGAAATCCAATCCTGGTGGGCTTGGAAGTGGCGAGTTCATAGGTACAGAGGCATTTAGATGACCGGCCGTGGTCAAAGGAAGACATAAGCGTGCGAATCAGAGCATGGAGAGAAACAGGTTTGCTCTGACACGATGAAAACGTTTGTCTTCCTTAAAACAGAGACCAAGGTTTGAGACGTTTCAATCTTCTGGAGAAAAGATCCGAGAAAAAAAAAGCTCACAATGAACCAATGTTCAAAAAGTTGATATGGACAATTGGAGTCTTCAATCCCAAAAAGTCAAATGAAGTCAGAGTGATTTTTTATGGGGTCGCAAAGAACCATGGTGCGAGTCTCAACGAAGATCTTCTCATAGATCCTTCCCTTCCCGGGATTTAGGTGAGTTCAGGGAGAGAAGAGTTGCCTTCATGGTTGATATCAAAGATATGTTTCATCAGGTCCTCATTCGAGGCGTAAAGGTTCCTCTGGAGGAAAGACAAATCTCAGCCTGTTGAGGAGTGGCGCAGATGAAGGTTTATCATTTTCCGGACTTTAGGTCAAAAACAAAAATGCAGAAGAATTTTAAAAGAATCACTCGAGAGCACTTAAACTCATCATTGATTCTCACTACATGGGACGATTATTTGGATTGTGAGATTGAGATTTGCCCCTGGGTTTCAAACTCAAAATATTATGGATGCCGTTCCTGACAACCTGAGGCGCTTTGATGTGTCGAAGCTCAAGTCGTCGAGTACTAGGATTATTTTTGAGGACGTATTCACATTCTCACTGAAGCTCAGAGAGCTACCTGGGGATGTAGCGGATGGGAAACGAATGCCAACAACGAGGGAACAGTTGAGTGTCGTCATGTCAGTGTTTGAGCCTCTTGGCTTTGTGGGGCAGTTCTTGGTTAAGGGATAAATACTGCTTCCGGAGGTGGTGTAGCGGAACGGAATTCGATGGGATGAACCTATGCCGCAGACACTCAGGGTGGACGTGGGGGAACGATTGCTCATGGCTAAAACAGCGGTTGCTCCTGTGAAACCGTTGACAATACCACGCTTGAAGCTTCAAGGAGTCGTAATTGGGAGTCGCTTGGCCATTAAGATTAAAAATCAAATGGAGTTGAAATTTAACTCTGTACCTTTGTGTACCAATTCATGGACTGTACCTGGTAGGCTCAAGTCGGAGACAAAGTATTTGTGGCAAGTCGCGTTGGAAAGATTCTCGAGTTCTTTCAAGGATTGGAACTGGGATCCAACTTCCAAGAATGTAGCGCGAGATATGGGATGCCAAGTTCTTGAGTCTACACGGTTGGGGGGCCCAGAATTTTTGTATCATGAAGGAGATAGGTGGTCAAATAATCTTATGATTAAGAAAGTCATTCCTGAATCAGCACAAGAGGTGAAAAAAGAAGTGATGGAAAAGTCAAGTTCCTCCGTTCAACCTAACATTACACGGTTTCTTAAAGTACAATCGGTGCTTGAGGATAATGGCTTCGATTTTGAGATCTGGGAATAGGAATACGATAAATGGAATTCCTAGTCTAGTGTTTGAAACTATGGAGTTGGGAAGGGCCGAGCGTTGGCTGGTGAAGAATGTTCCAATGGTGTCATTCCCTACGGAGTACCAGGATTTGAAAGAGGAAAAGGAGATTCCACTCTCCGTTAGCTCAATCCTTGTTTGAACGATGAAAGTTCAAGCAAGGATCGATCGATCACCTGACATTGTGAGCGAAATGAAATTCCCAATGATACTAGATCCTAAACACACCTAAACACAACTGCTTCTTCAACATCACGCGAGTGGGACACACTGGGAGTAGAGCGTCTCCTCAATGATTTGCGTTCTAAGTGTTGGGTACTCGTGGTCATGTGAGTACTTTGTGGAAGAGATGTGTGGAATGCCAAAGGAGAGGAGCTCAAGCTGATACACATGAAACGGGTCTCCTCTCCCTTTCCCTTTGTCCATTCACTTACACAGGAGTCGATTATTTTGGACCATTGTTGGAAGGCCTTTCCGTTAATTTGAAGATTGCTAACAGTCTGGACACTGACTCAACAATCATGGCTTCTGGACGATTGATGGCGAGACCCAAGAAGCTTAGGAGTGATAACGGGACCAACTTCAGGAGGGTTTCAGAGGAACTCGAAGAAGCTCTTCTTGAGTTAGATAAGGCTGTGACTATGCAGGGAAGTGAATGGTCATTTATTCCTCCTCCAGCCAGTTCCGACATGTGTGAAAACCGGGAAGAACTCGTTGAAACTGCAAAAAAAGCACTTTGGTCTGTTCCTCATGAAGTGATTCTAAGGGAGGAAGTAGTGAAGACCGCAATGGCAGAGGTGGAGCACTCTGTTAACAGCTGTTCTCTTACGCATGTATCGGACGATCCTGAAGTGCATCACTCCATCTCACTTAGTAATTAGAATGGACTCGTGGAGCATGAAGCAGATGTAGTACCGAAATGAACTATTTTGGGTTTTGCTTTCAAAACAGTGGGGGGGGGGATATGAGGGGTGTTATCTAGTAAAAACACTACTGTCATTTGTCACTTTGTCATTAAAACAAAACGAGTTGTTATGTCAGTTTATTTTATGTGTTTGTTTACAATGAACGTATACGTAAAAATTTCATAAACCGTAACTCGTACATATCCGTATCGTTTTCGTAAATTTACTTCGCTGTTTACAATAAACCAAAGATCATACTAGATAATAGTATGATCTTTGACCGTACGTAACTTTGAACCATTTTCAACTTTTGCGACCATGCGCAACACTTACATATCGCTTACGTATACGTACGTAAAAATTACGTTCATTGTAAACACCTTCGTATGTTTCTATACAGTTCAGCTTTTTAAGTTTTATGTATTTTTTACGTATACGTTCATTGTAAACAAGCACTAAAGCATATGTTAAATTGGCATTTTAATAGGTTTGAATGAGTGTAGGCTAAGCCGTTCTTTAACCGTAAGGGTAGATAAAGTGAAACAGATGACTGTGCATTCTAATGACATTTGTCATTTTTATTTCAAATGTACGATATAAAATGACGTTCAGAACCTATGACAATTCTGTTTCTATGGAAACGATGCAACTGCAGAACCTAAGCTTGCTAATTTTGATGTATATAAATTAAATTCAGAATTGTCACAAGCATTACAATGGGCGCGTTTAGCCGGGCCACTGCTGTCGCAACGCCAAGGTAGCGGTCATTTGGCGTCCACCTCCCCTCACCTCAGTAAATCGGCTGAAATTTAGCCTACTCATTCAAACCTATTAAAATGTCGTTTTAACATATGCTATAAAATAAATAACTATTATTTACTGTCCTCAGCATTCTTTCAGGAGGTCTTTCGAAAATATTGATGTCCATTGGTGCTACAACTGCCTCTGACACGTTTAATGTTTTCATTATTTAGTAGGAGTATAACAAAACCCATTAAATTCTATTTGGAACAAAGATTTGGCGAAGTAAATTTTTGTGGGGAATTTATTTGCATTGTTCCTCTTTAATCGCTAGCGCTGAACAACCCTCTACTTCCTTCCTACCAAATTTACATTCGTTTAAGAAGTTTTAGATATGAATTTCGACATTACTCTGTAACAATTTCCATAACACTGAACCCTATTATGAATGAAAATTACGTACCTTCTCTAAATCAAACTTAAACAGTTGCTGCTCCGTCCCATCTCCGACCTCCAAGTCCTTAAGTTGAAAGGTGACGTGCCCAATTTCCGATTTTCGCTTCGTCCGTCCAGCGTCAATCACCGTCAACTTGAGCGTGTGGTCAGTCATGTCCTTTGCGGAAACCTAAAATCCAATTAAAACTTAACGAATAATTAGGCGGGCAACACGAAGCTTTTAACGTTAATTTTAGACACAAAATATTATTCGAGGCGTACACTGCACCGTTTGAGTTTAGCCAGGAGGGTTAACAAAGTTATCTACTATTCCATGTTTACATTCTGATGGGAGTTGTACGTGTAGCTTCGTAAAATTTTAATTAATAGGCGCTATCTAAACTTTGGGGTTAAAATTGATGGGGATCCCTTTTAGTGACAAGCTGTAAAGGTTGAAGATGACACTGATGACTTCAAAAGAGCTTAATTGTGCACGCTCACGGACAATAAAATGTGTTCCACTCTTTCGAGGCAATTGATCTTTGTCAGATATTGTACAGTGTAAAGAGACGTTCTTTGGGATAAATTTATTTAATAATGGAAGGGTTTCGTACACCAAAATGGTTATTTTGCATTTTATTTGTTAGCATCAAGTTTACTGGATATAAATATTGCCATAGTCATAAAATTGATAGACAAATGTAACCGTCATAATAAATATTTAATTTTAAAAGATCTTGTCTTAGTCAATAATATTGGTTCTTCGACCCGGACAATATAATCACATAACACGTTATTAGGTAAGAGTCAATAAGATAAAGTTTTTGAATGGGAAAGCTCACCTGAAATACTAAGGTTTCGTCAAAGTACGGATTGCACGTCTTCTTCTTTTGCTTAGACTGCAAAAACCTCCTCTCGTCGGGCATGAGATGTAACCTAAAGGAAAACTTGGAATAACTAAGCTGTTAATCACGCACAATAAAGGTTTGTGTACCTTACGAACGGGTCGCAACTGTTAACCGTTCCAATACTTCGCGATGGCAGATTTTTTGCTTTCAGCAGCGACACCAGTAGCTTTTCAGTTGAAGGTTCGTATCGAAGCGAAAACCAAATCCTTCCGATGTGTCCCTCCGGCCACTGTAGTTCGTCCAAGTTCAAGGTGCTCTTGTAGAGAGCAGGTTCAATCACACCCAATCCGTAACAGCCTAAAAAAAGTAGGGCAATTAGTAGCTATGTACCGCTTTAGGCGATAATAATAAAATATTGTAGAGGTAGACCTTGAGACGCCATGAAAGTTTAATCATCAGCGATAAAGAACGAAGGTGAATGTGACGCATCTTTCCGGGAAATATGATGTGCTTTGCTAAATGTTCAAGGGCATTCGGAAGCGTTCGGGAGCACTCGAGAACATATACAAAAAGATTGTTGTTTGCTATATAAGCAAATCGAATTGTGTTTCGAGTCAGTTCCAACATCAATGCGCTCGTTTTATGTGAGTGATAAATACTAATTAACTGTAACAAAGTAATCCACTTCAATACTGTTATAAATTTATTGTTAAATAAACCCCTAAAGAACATCTAAAAAAGCGGCAGAGCACCTCGGTGTGACCCTACGGGGTCATTGGATTTGACCTATTTTCAATTGGCTTATTACATGTGGCATATAGGTCAACTGTGCAAAGTTTCAACTGAATAGGTTGAAGCGTTTGGCAGGGACAGATAAGCGTGACCCGACGGGGTCATTGGATTTGACATATAGATACATTCCTTTTCCCACAAATTGAATACACTGCATCGTAGTCACTCCTTTGATTTAGTGAGCGATTTGTGGGGAGATACTCCTCGTTTCCATTACAAGGTTTTAGTCCTTCTGCCAACTTATTGTACTTTTCAAGTGGCGACTCCTAAGACTATATCTGCGAGAAATTCCGTACTTTTTCTCCCACTCACCACATCATCTTCATTCAATGATTTCTGCTTATTGATGAGTGAGCACATAATTTGATAATGAGTGCGGTTACATGACTCACATCGGATTTTCTTCTTGCATTTCCTCTAGAGGTGACCAATTTTCAAGCACCTGAAGCAAGCATTTTTTCCCATTACTTTCTGCTTATCTACATAGGTCATTTTTTTCGCTTTCCAAGATTTGGCCGCCGTGATAAAATGCAGAAATTCCTTTTCATCACATTTTGTAACAATCCGGAAGCTGTGGGAGCATTATATTCTTGAATATTGTTTTTATTTTGACGTTCTCCCCTCCTATCATTACATTTTGATTTGTTGTGTGGGGGTGTATTTGAACCTGCAAGGGAAATCCCCACACATTCTTTATTTCGTGTCGCATGAAGTCTTGTGCTGAAAGTGGGCTTCTCTGACAAGCTCAAAGTAGTGACTCAGGAAAGCTTGAATTCAACCAGGGGGTTGTGTCGAGTTTTTCAAGTTATAGAATTAAATGAGTACTAAAATTGCCACGTATACGGCAAAGACTAAGCGTAGAGAAGTAAGGGATCCTGATCATATGACTGGGAAATATAGAGGATCAGCACGTAATAAGTGTAATTTAAATTAAAACTACCCAATTTTATTCAAATTATAATTTCATACTTTAAATAATTCTAAGCTATTTTTTGAGTGGTTATTAAAGTGAATTCCAATCTTCTTATCCTCGGAGGTCTTTGACCAACCTGTAGTAATCCTCCGTGAGCACGTGGCTTATCATTCTGGGTCGCATTGTCTATACGCTTTTTCACATTTCCCTATCTTCTTGTACTAGCTCGAAGACCAAATTTCGAATGCTTCTATCCTTACTTTTGTGTTCCCTGCCTATTCTAATATTAAACAAAATTTTCTTTTTCCAGAAAATGGTATTTTCCAATTTAAAAAAAGTGAAGAGCAATAGTATATTGAAAGACAAGTGTTACAATGCGACCTATTGTAATACGACTATCTTGTGGCACGAGTGGCGACGCGAAGCGTAGCACGAGTGTCCGCAAGATAGGAGTATTACAATAAAGCATTGTAACACGCGTTTTTAATACTATTTTTTCTATTTCGGTGCTTTAATTTAATTAAAAAAATCATTATCAGAAACTATACCTAGGGAACATTAGAACTAATATGTTTTATGTTGGGAACACTTTTTATGCCGTTAAGTTTTAGGTTGGCAGCGTAGTAAGACTGACATTTTGAAGTTCAAACATGGAAGTACCCAACGAAGTACCTACGTGTACAAACTAGTAACTGCCAACTTAAGAGATGAGTTCCCAAAAAAAACGACTGTTTTCGGCCGAAAACAGTTGTACAAAATCATCATTGTGACACCGAAATAGAAAAAATAATTTTAAAATGTTCAACCTGCAATTCAAAAATGAATTGATTCTTTGCGGTTCAAGGGCGGTTGAAAGTAGACCTATGCTCTTTTGTTCTTTTTTTGTAGGAAATATAGTCCTCTACAATTTACCTTCTATACATTTTGTCGTATCTATTACCGTTTATCTTGCGTTTTGAAATAAATGCCCTCGGTTATGACTTTCCTACGAAAACTCTAAAAGGTTCCTGTGCCTATAATTTCTCTTGCATTGCATCGACCATAAACTGAATACACTTTGTGCTCATACTAAAGTTTATACACCTCTTTAGAGAATTTTTATGTCAATTTATTACACATTTCAGAAGCCATTCGCTTTCAAGTAATACATCAAAGGTAAGGCCATAAGTTTATTAGGAATCTTAGCAAAAGCGAAGTTATGAAGTTCATTCTTGTCAAAATATCAAAGTGATTAGACCCGAGCCACCCTCGCAGCTAGCCATTAAGAGCATGTGTTACGTCGCGGAAACATTAAAAACCGGCGTTAAAATGGTCAAATGCCCGTCGCTGTAGACAGGGCATTTTTCAAGATACGTAGCTCAAATTTGGAATAGAGTACCTTCAAATCTTGAGTACAATATGTCTGAATTAGAATATTAAAAATCGCGAGTGTTTTTGCAAAAACTACCCTTGAAGTATGACGTTAATGAGAAATATAGTCAATGTTTGACATATTTTTTAGAGGGTTAGAATAATAAAAGTGGAAAAACAATTCAGTCATAATGGAGTTTAGACTGCTATTTACCTTTAAAAAAAATTGCGAGTCATTACAGTTGATAATAAAATAGTTCTGGGATCGGGTAAAAAGTATGTTTTCGTCATAATTTTTCCGTGATCCAGTATTAGTTTCTCCCACCTTACATTCGCAACAGTTTGGTGTGTAATCATTCGGTTATACCCGCGATCGTACGGTTTTATGGGCGTTTATAATATTAAAAGCGACACAACGACTGACAATCCAAAAAGGAAGGAAATATCACGAAGGATTAGAAGTGTACTACTGTACTGTAGTTATTATTCTTCTTATTACTTATTATTATAACATTTTTGCGTTACGAGGTACGTACGGGATTGTGACTTGACGAACGCACCATAGGAATTTCAATAGTAATTTTTTAATTTCCGAATTGGCTTCCCTAATTATTTTAGAAATAAAGTCTATTTAGGTTTTTTGTAGAGAAAAAAATTACGAATCCGTACATACTATTGTTTCCTATTTTATAAATTCAGAAACAGTAAAAATTTAAAAATTAAAAACCGTCGCGTTTAGAAAGTCGGTAATGCCATAATGGAATTATGAATTTAAACAAAAGCGCTCGCATTGTGTTTATGGAAAAATATAAAAAAAGAAAACTCGAAAATTAACAATCTGTTTTTACTAGTAAAATTCATCCGATCAATTGAAAATCCGTATTTGGTCAGTTCTTTTGATGACAAAACAATAAGACAAACCCGATCACCGTAGGTGCCACAGCCACTGAACGAGCTCCTAGCGAGTTTATAATTTTGCGGTACCTGTCCGTCTGTCCGTCCGTTACCACGATTTCTCGATAACGAATGGACCGATTACAATGAAATTTTGTAGGTGGATTCATTATCAAGTTTGTAGATCGGAGTTCGTGAATTGGTAATGTAGGTCAAAAAATAAGGAAGGCCCTTTTGACATCTCTGTTAGTGATGAACCGAATTGCATGAAATTCAATATGCGTATAGGTTTAGCCATATAAAACGCAATTCCAAAAATTGAGCCTAACCGATCAACATTCACAGTGCCTTTTTCGCATCTCGACCATTTATAATCCGAATTGCAAACTTTTTTATTTATGAAGGTATTTAAATGAAATTTGATACATAGGCACTTGAAATAAAACCAAATTTACCGCGAGTTTCAAAATTTCGGTTTGCGCATGCGCAGTGCTAACTTTCTTATTTATGGAGGGATTTAAATGAAATTTGATACATAACTACTTGAAATAAAAGCAAATTTAACTCCAGTTTCAAAATTTGGTTTTGCGCATGCGCAGTGTCAACTTTCTTATTGATGGAGGCATTCAAATGAAATTTGATACATAGCCACTTGGAATAAAAACAAATGTAGCGCCATTTTCCAAATTTGGTTTTGTGTAGGACGTGCAATGCCAACTTTCTTATTTATGGAAGCAATAAAATGAAATTTCATACATACATAACACATAATACACTTTAAATAAAAGCAAAACTGACATCGGGTTTAAAATTTGGTTTTGCACATGCTATAGCCATACCCAAGAGCTCGATTTTTATATTTGTTTAGTTTATTTAAATAAACAAATTTTAAAAAACGATGCTTTGTCGCATGCTCGGGTCGCATCAAGCGATTCTTTAAAACGTGAACTTTTTTATGCTTCTATTGGAGCAAAATGTACGATTTCTATTACCTAATGAGAGTGCCAAGGGCCTATTATAGAGTTACCGTTCTTGTTATATTTCGGGAGTTATTTCATTTGTTAGTTAACTAAAAAAATTCCAGAGCCCGTCTTCTTGCAAGAATCATCGGGCCAATTTTTGTAAATAGGGTTCCACTATCTGTAACAACATTATAAACGCTCTGGGAGTTACCCAGTTTGAAAGACAAAGCATAATTTTTTTTTAATTTGTTTATTCAATCATGCAATGACTATGAAACCTCGTATGAAAATTATGGTGATTGGGTTTGTCATATTTTTTGTTATCAAAAGAAATGACCAAATACGGATTTTCAAAAAGATGGGATGAATTTTACTTAGTAATAACAAAATGCGAATTTATTTCTTATATTTTTCGATAAAAAACAATAAACAAAACAATGTTGTATTAAACGTACCGTAAAATTCCCAAAAGGCGTTATGATATGGGGATGTATGTCAGCAAAAGGTTTGGGGCACTTTGAAGTTATCGACGGTACTGTAAACGCAGAGAAATATCAAAAAATATTAAGGAATAGAGTTCTCCCGAGTGTCAATAAGCTGTATGGCGAAAAAGATTTTGTTTTCCAGCAAGACGGAGCCTCTTGTCATACAACCAAATCAACTCAAAATGGCTCTCTGAGAATGGGATAACAGCTCTGTCATGGCCTTCTACTTTCTAGTAGCCCAGACCTAAATATTATTGAAACCCTTTGGCATAAGATGAAACAGCAGTTACTAAATAATCCCCAGAGAACAGTTCCAGATTTAAAGTCAAAACTGGCAGATATGTGGACTAAATTGTCACCTGTACACTGACTAAAAAAAAATTGAGAACGCTTTGGGAGTCGCCCAGTGTGAAAGACAAAGCATCGTTTTTTTTTAATTTGTTGGTGTAAATAAACGTGTAAACAAATACAGCAAACGAGCTCCTGGGTAGGGCTCTAGCATGCTCAAAACTAAATTTTTAAACTGGAGCTACATTTCCTTTTATTCCAATTGTCTAAGTATCAAAGTTCATTTAAATGCTTTCATAAATAAGAAAGTTGGCATGCGTAAAACCGAATTTTGAACCGGCATTAGATTCGATTTTATTCCAAATGCCCAAGTATCAAATATCATTTAAATACTTTCATAAATAAGAAAGTTGACCCTGCGCATGCGCAAAACCAAATGTTGAAACTGACATTAGATTTTAGTTTATTCCAAGTGCGTATATGTATCAAATTTCATATACATACCTTCAATCTTCATAAATAAAAAAGTTTGCAATTCGTTTCATAAATGGTTGAGATGTGAAAAGGGCACTGTGAGTGTTGCATGGGTTAGACTCAAATTTTGGAATTGCGTATTATATGGCACCATTCGGTTAATAATTAACGGAGATATCAAAAGGGCCTTCCTTATTTTTTGACCTACATTACTAACTCACGAACTCCGATCTACAAATTTGATAAAGAAACCACCTACAAAATTTTATCGTAATCCATCCATCCGTTATCGAAATATAACGCTAACGGACGGACGGACAGACATCGCAAAATTATAAACTCGCTAGGAGCTCGATAATAACGGAAACATTAAACGGCTTGTCTTAACAATTAGTTTTTAGGGCTCGTAGATTGTTAATTTTCGGGATTACTTTTTTATATTTTGCCATAAAAAACAATAACTTTTAAAAATGAACGTTCCATACCAACTGTATCTTATAGACAATTCGAGTATAAACAAATTCATTTCTATTCATTTTTTCCCTCAGAGCAATAGTTAACGAGATAATTGAAGTAAAATGCGAAAAGAAACGACATTTTGCCATTTTTTCTTCGTTCTTTGTTTTATAACAAAATGTTCCGGGAGTATGATTTTCAGATTCAGCGGATTTTTTTACATACAGTAGGTACAATTGGTTTCGTTGAGTGAAATGAGAACATCCAGATCCAGCCCAAACGGTAATTTGACTGGATTACATGATTATACCTACATTTTATTTTAATAAGCGTTGAGTTGTCTTTGCTTTTCTCTTTGTATTTGTAATTCTAATTACATACTTACAAAGGGAAAAGAGAAATATTGTCCTTTACAGTCAGCGGTATAGAAGATTATTGCATCGTGAATGCATATTCAATATTGTATAATGCAGTACATCAGTATCAGTATACGCGATAACGCGACACGAGTGCATGATCCCCTTCCCAAATTTGACTTTCCTCTAAAAATGTGGCGGGAGAAGTTACTGGAATTTCCCCTTTCGAGTCAGGCCAGCCGACTTCAACGCTAACGTTACAAATGCTCTTAAGCAGTGTTAATTAATAATTGGACCGCTACATAACTTCACCAGACACAGACACAGACACTAATCGTTATCTTGATGATTTTATCCGTGCGATTAGTTACCAGGCCTAGACCTGAGTTCTCACAAGATTACACGACCATAAAATAAAATATATATTTATTCTGTAAATTAGCAAACACACACACTAAGTAATGAACTCATGCCATTGCACACAGCACTATATTAGAAGCCAAGAGACGTTTGAAAATGTTCTGACTCGAAATTTCGTAAGCTGAACGGATAGAAATAAACAAGTCAGGTGTTTACGTAGAGACAATTAATGAAGTCCGATTCGACATGTTGGGATAAATTTTGCTGCCGACTTCCACATGTCGCCTAGTCCGATTGTTTATACATATTTGATCATGAAGGTCGGAATTTTTCCTTAAGAGTAGATATGTTGTAACAGTTTCTCCCTCAGTTTCTACAAAACCCCCCACAAAACCTAAAAATTCGGGATGTAGCTCTTCTGCTCTTAAGCTAAATATTTAGGATTCTCCCGCCCTACCCATTAGGGGGTACAAAATGTTTGCCAAACGGAAGGTATATCAAATCTCTACATCAATTTCGGGAATTGGAACATTTGTGTATTTGTGCACGTTTCGCACTTTTAACATTGATGGAGTACACAAGGGGATCAAGGCAGTAACTTTGATGTAAGATCATCTCCGTCGGGGGTGAGATTTTTAAAAATTAAAAGCCTCATAGAAAACGCTTTTTGCGAGGCTTTTTGATTGCTTTCCAATACACGTAACATAATAAGGTGTTTCTACTAAAAACGAAAAATTAATGCCATAAATTGTTGTCTAGGTTTATTCATGTTTGGCTAACCTTGGATGTCGTCTCTGCGTCATCGTACTGGCATGTCAGTTAAATTGGCTTTTAATGTAAACAACCGAGACTCCGATAACAACTAGGCATTAAATTAGTCTCACAATTGTAAAATATTATAATATGTTGCTAATCGACATCTAGGCCATTAACAATTATCGATTGTCAGCCTTCACAACAAATTTGTATACTAGTAAAAAAGGACCAAAAAGAATATCAGGAATGCAAAGAAGTATCAGACATTACTTTTTCAGAATTCGGAGATTATTAACCCCATAGATCTTTTGAAAGTAACTTTCTGGATGCATACAGCATAACAGCACGATCATTTCTGTATTGTTTAGTATTGAAATGCCGTCGGAATGAAACATTGCATATAATTAAAACTGATGATAGACTATAATTGATCGTCCGCGGTTCTAATAAAAAAAATACTCGTCATCGATTCGTCATTCATTATTTACAATGAAACAAATAACCGTAGGCGCTAGAAAATAAATATTGACTTAGCTTTATATAAACCTGCCTTAATTAGTCCAAATGTTTTAAATAATTGATGACACTTCCGGTAAACCATCTGTTTTTCGTATGGAGCTCTAATTATGGTACGCATTACTCACCTACAATGACAGTAGCAACACCATCCTTAATCTCTTTGGTAGCATTATTGCCCACATGGAGAAAATCGGAAAGTGACAGTGAGGAGGCGATGATTTGTCGCTTCTCTTCGAAATTCAAATAATCCAAACTGTTACTTCTTTGCGGAGCGACGATGGCAACGGTTTTCGTTTTGGTAACTGCGTTATTTCCGCTTTTATCACTTAAAACCTGTGATGGAACTAAGTACACACCACTAAGTTTAATAGACATTTCGCGCTTCGGTTGTTGCCTTTGTCACCTCGCCACCATTTGTGCCCTTTTTTCACTTTCACTTCACGTTAACAAATTTTCGCACACACTTAATAAAACTCATTTTAAGCCACCTGTTGTTGCATCCAAAGCGAAAAGTGTAGATATCGCGACGCACGCACAACACCTTCTCAGGTGCACGATATATAAATAAAACGGCGGCGGCTTCGGAATTTTTCGCGGTTAAAAACCTCACATCGCGGATGATTCACGCGGTTTCCAATCAAACCGAATATTCGCGCAAATCGATCTATACACCTTCACTTCGGTTTAGAAACAACAGAAAAATAATATATCGCATTATTACATGACACGCATTCCTTTCGATCGTTCGTTCGTACTGATCCGGCGCCAGCATTCATGTTTTCCGAAAGCTCACGGTCTCCACGTCCCCCATTTCCTATCCGCTCTACGTCGAATCAACAAGGATGCGGTTATTTCACTCGCTCCGCATCATTTAAAAGGCAATTGAAGTAGTATCTTGAGATACATGTGTGTTAACTGACAAGGTATGGGGGCACTTGACGCGACGTCGAGACGGAGTAACTATGGAGATGTGTGTGCAATGCATGCGGTACTCGCCCTTAAATGCGTTCATCCCTAAATAAAACAGCGCGTTTTTAAACGAACCCACCCCGCTAAATTTGTGCGACATACCTACGCACACGCAAAAAATTAAATTTATGTTGTCGGCTAACGATTATGAGGGCTGTTCCATATTTACACTCAATAAATTTTTATTACGGTAATTTTAGTAGTATTTATTGCTACAATGCGATTACAGTTAGTGTGCAGATCATACCATCCCTCCAGTTGAAATATTGATTTATGTGCAACCATCCACTAATGCGTCGAGGCAGGCAGGTGCGTGTTTTACATACACGTTGGTAGGTATAAGGTGCAAAATGTTCGCAGAAACATCTGCCACTAACCGAAATGTTCCCCATTTACAAACAAATTTCGCGCGAAAAGGTTTTAAAAGAAATAAGGTGAAGCTCGTACTGGTAAATGCACCAATTACGTCAATGCACATATACATAATATCGAGCATAATATATCCCTTAGTAATTCTAGTAATGTCTTCTCGTGTCTTGGTAATTTCAATAATTTTTTTGCAAATTCCGTTAATTTTTTCGAAATTTGAAATTGTTATTCGTTTATTTTTAGCGATGCACCTATGTATTAGTATTTTGCAATTCTTCTGATCAATTTTTCTTTGGAGATTTGTCCATTTGTCCGCACACACATCTGCGGTACTGAACTGCCTACTTTGAGGGAGGGAGTAGGGGAGGGGGGTTGTTTAAAAAACCTGAAATATTTTTCAATTTGTTCCACTTACTTTAAAGAGGGGGCTCGCAATGAAATCCTTCATTCCAGGCTATTTTGTCAGTAAAATTAGCCTTTACTTGTGTCCAGTAATTTAGTTCCGTATTTTGGTTTAGGACTTTTATGTTTCACTATGTTTGTGTGCCTTTGGATTGGGAACCGTGGCGCTTGAAATCTGCACCACATACCTCTGTACACAGTCTTTTTGATTTTAACTGTCACAGCGGATATTTCGGCTATTGTTAGAGATATTAGAATATTATAGAAGAATGGTTAATTTGGCATTGGGTATCTGTTATAGCCACAAAAACAATTGATAATCAAATGTATTAGGTGCAGAAAATAATTCAAAATTTTAAATTCTGAAACTGTTAAAAATGTTTAAGGCTTGTTTGCAATCGGCTTTCAGTTTTTTAAAGTGGGCAGTCCAGGATAGTCGTCTATCAAGTATCATTCCTAAGTATGTTACTTTTTCTATATATGAGGCTTTTGTTGTTAAGGTGATGATTAGGATTTTGAGGTCGATGTTTTTTAGCAAAATTTATGCATTTTGTTTTTTCAGGTGAAAAATTAAATCCTGTTGTTTGTGTCCACATGGTTAGACTGTTTAAGGTTCGTTGTAATTCGTTTTCTATGTGGTTCGTATTCTTGTCGGACATATAGATAATAAGGTCATCTGCATAAAGCAGGGATTTTACGGGATGTAATATTTGTTGTTATATCATTCATTGCTATTAAGAACAATGTTATACTTAGAACTGAACCTTGAGGGATTCCTGTGTCTTGTGTATATTTATTAGAATGTATGGACCCTACTCTAACTTGGAAGGTTCTGCCATCTAGGAAATTTTTGATAAAATATAACATTTTCCCCTTTATGTCCCATAGTCGGTTAATGTCTTAATTATTTTTCCTTTAGAGACGGTGTCATACGCTTTTTGGATATCTAAAAATATGGCAACTAACTGTTCTTCATTTATAAATGCATTTCTTATGTCTGTTTCTATCTTCACTATATTGTCCAAAGTGCAATGATTTTTGCTGAAACCGCTTTGGTATTTGTTAAATAATTGTTTGTATTCTAAGTAGTATGTTAGCCGCTGGCTCACCATTTTCTCAAAGATCTTGCACATTGTACATGTTAGGGCTATTGGCGGTAGCTTGATGCTTCGGATTTATCCTTACTTGGTTTCAATATTGGAATTATTATCGCGTTTTTCCATCCCTGTGGAAGTATTCCCTCTGTCCAGATCTTGTTGTATAATTTTAGTAATGCTTCCTTGTATGATTCTGGTAGGTGTTTAAGCATGTCATTGTGTATGTTGTCTGGTCCTGGTGCAGTTTTGCTACAGTTGTCAATGGCTGATTGTAGTTCGAGTGTTGAAAATGTTGAGTTGTATATTTCATTATCCGGCAATGTCTGTATTTGTAATGTGTCGTTTTCATTATTGTTATTTCCAATGGTTTTGAATTGTAGAGCTAATATTTCTGCTATTTGTTCTTTTTCAGTTATTATTTTGTTGTGTTGTGTTTTTAGTGCTGTTATATCGAAATGTGAATGTCTACCTTTTAAACTGCGTATTTTTTACCACAAGTCTTTTGTTGAAGTTTGTATGTTTATGGTACCTATGTAATTTTTCCAAGATTCTTCCTTACTAGTCTTAATGGTTCGTCTGGCTATAGCTCTTAGTTTTTTAAAATGAATTAGATTCTCGATGGTTTTATATCTTCTATATATATTGAGAGCTTTATTTTTTTCTTTGATGACATCGGCGCATTTTTTATTCCACCATGGAACTTTATATTTATAAGGTGAGCCTTTTTTCATAGGTATGGTTTGTAGAGCCGCATTTAAAATGTTTTGTGTGAGTGCTGAACATATGTTATCCACTGTTTCGAATGTAGAGGCTTTCGGTGGGTTATTTTGCAAGAGTGATTTGTATTCTTCCCACTTGGCGTTCTCCATTTTCCATTTCTCTAAATGTGAAATATCGTGCCTATTAGTGGGAATGTTTGTGGATACTATTATTGGGAAGTGTCCGCTATTATGAAGACTATGATCTGTTTTCCACGTGGTTAAGGATGCTAGTTGACTATGGCAGAAGGATAAATCGATAGCTGAACAAGTGTTGGTCCCTGTACTGAAATGAGTGGGACTCCCATCATTTAAAAGAATAAAATCGTCAAAATTATCTGATAAAAAGCGCTAATGGAGATTGCGAAAATTGAAGCAGGTGAAAATGGGTAGCGAGAAAGAGAATGGAAAATGGAGGAGAAAAAGAATTGGCTGATAAATCCGAAAAGCTGTCGATTGCTCAAGGATGTGTGTGTGTAGCTCTAAGGATCGGCCAACATAAATAAAACAATCAAATTCAATTTAGAGTTGTCCTCACACGAGAATAGCTCTAGGGACCCTGTACTAATCTAAAACCTTCCCTTAACAAATAATAAAATCCACTCTATAGTGTTAGGATTAGCTGAGCTAAATGGAAATTCCCCAAAACGATTGCAACATAATTCGTAATTTAAGTGACTTCGCAATGAAACTTCTACGTACATGCGAAAACATTACGTATGTACTATCCATAACAAATAAACAAAGGCGCCCCTCAAGTACCCACCCTGCTTAACTGCTAAACTCATTCACAATTAATGCGTAATTTTAAAAAAAGGCTCTGCCAATTTCAATTTATAATAAGCATCTATGAAATCAACAGCAAATAAACAATACTTATTTACATAAAAGTCAAGAAAATGACACATTACTGGCGACGAAAAATGGAAATGTACTTGAATTAAGTTAAGTAGTGCATTTTTTGTATTAAATTTACCCGAATCATATTTTAATATAACATTTTGCTGGAGATACTACAACTATAGAAGCCTGTTGAGGGCCCAGAACAAGAGAGGGATTATAAATAAATAAGAGGTTAATTTAAAAATCGCATGTGATTATGAGTGTAGAATTTGGATTTGCGAATTAGTGAACCAACTCAAATAAAATTAATCAACCATCAAATAATAACAACACACAGGTATTAAAAACACGATTTGGCACTTCGCTCGAGCGCGATGACGCATTTTATTTAATAAGTAGGTCTTTATGTAGAAAGTAAAGTATATAATAAACGTTTTAGGCCAGAAATCATCAAATTCTTCTAAACAAAATCGGACATGGGACTTTGGAGGCTATATCCGGAAAACGGGAAAAGTCTCAACATTTTCATTTCTTCCCTGATATTTTCTAAGTAATCACAACATGTAAAAGCGTAGAACAAATTGGTTTTTCTAGGTTCTCAGTATACCTATTCCGAAACTGTCCCGATTTTATCAAATAATTCCAATCTCTATTATAGATTGGGCGCCTATCCACAAAGGTGCGAAAAATTCCGATAAAATTAATAATTAAATAAATAGTAATTGATATAAACGGTGGACAACAATTTTCTAGGTGGTCATCCCTTTGGTTTTTAGTTATAAATTTGTACGTTAGTTTTCACGAAAATGATGTTAGTTTTTCATTGGTGTTAATGTTTTATGTGTCAAATTTTTTGAATCTTTTTTTAATTCCTAGAAATATTTTTTCCAATTTCTTTCTCTATCAAAAATGGATCTTTCAAGATCCAGGATTTCAA